TGGCGTTGTGTGCTGTCCCTGCAGCGCCATGGCGCTGCTGCATAGCGCCACGACGCTGTCTACGCAGTCTGTTTCGTCTTCTTCGCTGTTTTCTGCAATTTTTCGCTAAATCCAACGCCACGAACAACTTTCGAGCGACCCGAACTTACAGACTCAATACAGAAACAATATGCCTAAAACACCAAGCCCTTACATGATCAAATGAAGAAGAAAAACGCTATCTAAATGCCAAAAACCATAAATTTTCCAACCCACAAACCCATATTATTAAATATGAAAACACCCACCAAAAACACCGATTTTGCCCCCAAAAAATCAAAACAACAACCTGGCTCTGATACCAATTGAAGGGATGTGAATCCCGGAGCGGAAGCGGATTGTTGTTCGTGAAATTTGGGAAACAAAATCAAAACCGTTAAGAAGAAAAACATAGGGGAAAATTATACCTTTGAAGAACGTTTCTTCAACTTTTTTCCAACGAACACCACCAAACGATCTTCCTTGCTATCGTTTGGAATGAGAGGGAGTGTTGAGTGAGAGTGCTTGATTGAGAGAGAAAATGGGAGAGCTTTCTTTTGTTTTGTTCTACTGTATTTTGCAGAACTCCAAAAAGAACACCAAAAGTTGTGACGTGGGGAGTTACCCCACGTCATTTAACTGCTCATTCCCCTACAATTTTGCAAGGAGTTAATTATATATATATATTAATATTATGAATTAATAATAATAACTAATATATATATATATATATATATAATTTATTAATTAATCATATTAATTAATAAATATAATTAATTATTAATCCAATTAATTAATAAATATATATATAAAAATCAAATAATTAATTAACACTTAATTATTTATTATAAAATTAGAATCATATTCTAAAACATTTCTCTCGCATAACCTGTAGTTGTAATGTACATCTTATGCACATTATTTTTAACCTATAGTTTTAATATGAATCATATTCATATTAATTTTATTTGAATTTCATTCAAATAATTTCTCTCATAATATATAGTTTTAATTTAGAATTAACTATATATTATAACGTATCAATATACATATAATCTCTTAAGAAATTTGAACAGTTCAAATTCTTCCAAAAACTTGATCCTCGTTTTATCCGTTATGAGCTAGCAAGGAGACCTAATGGACCTACAGATCCGAAGCTCCAATGATACGAGACTAATTGGTCAAACTCATTGACCGAGTTAATCAACATTCATTAACTACAGGTCATTCCACTAAAAACCCGCAATTGCACTCTTCTCACTGCATAATGTTTTCGTGTCCATGGATATACGACCATTGACGACGAGTCAATCCTTCACGAGTGCTCGTAACTCAAGTTGGGTCAAATTACTGTTTTACCCCTGAGTTACATCTTACTTTTTAAATACCACTGCTCCTCTAATGAACAACCCAGTTATGGTCCAACCAATAACCGAAAGTCCCTCTCGGGCCAATGAGAGGGTGGGGCCCCTTGTTCAAGTCCTGGAGTCAGCATTCAAGGGAACACTCATCTACTCCCCTAAAGTCGATGAGGAGTGAATTCCATCTTGTGAAGTTACGTTCCCAGCTCCCCACTAGGTCTCGTCTCCAAAATGGTAGGAATATTAAGTCGGCAACTCGGGCCACTCTCACCCATACAGATCAAATGACAAGCCCTCACGGGCAGAAGTCCATAAATCACTCAGGATTGAGAATGAGTTGTCTGGTCATCCTAAGAAATAGCAATCTATTAGTTAACGGTGTTACATCTAAAGATTGGCTATTTCGTGGTCCGGTCTTATACAAACTCATTGTATAGGATACCCCCACTCGCATGTCTCCACAGGAATGACCTGGATCGAGTCGTCTGTAACCTTTATAGAGTTGGCTATATCCATAGTGTTGCCAGGATAAGGTACCCAACCTTATCTATATACTATAGACCCGTTAGGTTATTCACGGGAAATAATCCACTTGTATATCAGGGGTATATCAAACATATACCTCGTATATCAGGGGTATATCGATTATATACCCAATATATCAAATATATACCCAGTACATATACTGTCCCGATTACACTAAAATAACCTCGGATGTTTAGTTTATTGGATTTTGGACAATGCAATGCTATGAATTCAACAACAAATTTATTGAATAAAACTTTATTGAATTTACATTTGTTTTTACACAACATACAAACTACGAGTTTAGGGCAACACACCCAATAGTAAACACCAACACCTCTAGAATGTTGCTCGGGCCTTGTACTTTCAGTCAAGGATTCCTCTCAAATTTTGGAGTGAGTGTGTTCTTACACTGTATACCTTATTAATAGGACTCCTTTGCCTATTTTGAAATGGTAGTCTTCTTTTCAAGTCCTGTATAAAACTGATCCTGATTACTCCATGTTGAGAACCTTTTGATCTTTGTG